TATATATATATATATATTTTTAAAGGATGACCGGTAAGGGGATCTCAACCCTTGGCTTGGTGTTGTCAGCACCACGCTCAACCAGTGAGCGAACCGGCCATCCCTATATAGGATCCGAACCCGTGGCCTTGGTGTTATCAGCACCGCACTCTACCGAGTGAGCCACGCGCCGGCCTTAAGCTTTCTTTAAGAACTTTTTAAGTGGGGGCCGACCTGGTCCGTGGCTCACTCGGGAGAGTGTGGTGCTGATAACACCAAGGCCACAGGTTCGGATCCTATATAGGGATGGCCGGTTCGCTCACTGGTTGAGCGTGGTGCTGACAACACCAAGCCAAGGGTTGAGATCCCCTTACCGGTCATCCTTTAAAAAATATATATATATATATAAAAACTTTTAAATTGGGATATAACATAAAGTGTATAAAGCGAACTAATTTTAAGTGTACAGCTCCATACATTTTTACAAATACATTTTAACAAACACTCATCTGTAAGTTTTAAAAAGTACTTGCAGCTCCAAAACTCATAGCATCAATTAAAAAGAAATGTTTAAAAGGAAAAATTATCTCCTTATTCAACAGATTACAGTTGTAAATTCCGATATTCTCCCTCTCATTCATACATACACATAAACTTTATAGATGTTTTTCCCCTTTTTTCCCCGCTTTAGTGTTATATCTTACACATCTTTTCATGTTAGTAAACCAGACTGTTGTTGGTCTTCTTAATGGAGGTATAATTCACACACAGTAAAAATCAGCCTTTTCAGTGGATAGTTTCATGTTTTGACACCCATATACAGTTATGCAATCACCACGACATTCAAAATATAGAACAGTTAGTTGCATTACCTTCTTTGTAGTCAACAGTATTGTTTTAATGGTTCTATCCTATAAAGGGATTCTTTGCCTTAAAAGGAAGGAAAGTTGATCTCTGGCAAAGGAAAGCAATATCTGATCACAAAATAGAAGCCATGCTTTAAGGCTTTAACTTTTTTTTTGCAGCTGGCTGGTACAGGGATCAAAACCTGGACCTTGGTGTTATCAGCACCACACGTTAATCAACTGAACTAACCAGCTAGCCCTATGGCTTTAACTTTTTGTGCAAGGGGTTAAACTGGTGCAACCCATGCAGGATCTTAGATCTCTAACTTGTGTGCAGCTCCTCAAAAGGTTAATTGCCAGGGGTCTTCAACAATGGAGACAGGGCTTATTTATTTTGCTTTGTTTGGTGAAAGAGGGAGAAAAACCAGGAAAGACTGGGAGGCATCTCAGTCACTGACTTTAGGAAGATGTGATATCCAGCAAATCAGATATAATCTGGGCAATGGAAGCCCTGGGACAGTTGGGTCTCTTTCGGGAAAGAACTAGGAGCTGTGTCCCACACCCCTGGGTAAAAGGAGAGCCAGAATCCCTACACATAAAAGATGATGTTCTCTAAGGGAACATTGCAAGATCGTGGCTAAGTCTGGCTTGCAACAGCCTCCTGACAAAGAGCAGAACTTCTGGCAACAATTTGTTCTGGGGTCTGCAGAAAGAAAGCCAATATGAGTGAAACCTGAATGGATGGCAGCTTTCCAAACTGCAAAGCAATGGAAGAAAAGCCCTCTGTGCCCCAGATCACTCACTTACTTCCCTGTAATTCCTATGTCTTTATTTCAGAGGCTAGAAAGACTGATGAGAGTCTGCTTTGAATCATTAGACGGCAACAAAGACAGATCTGGTGCCATGTCCTGGAACTGTTGGGAAGTGAATGTCCAGTGAGATGCCATTTTTTTTTTTTAAAGATGACTGGTAAGGGGATCTTAACCCTTGACTTGGTGTTGTCAGCACCATGCTCACCCAGTGAGCTAACCAGCCATCCCTATATGGGATCCAAACCCATGGCCTTGGTGTTATCAGCACCACATTCTCCCAAGTGAGCCACAGGTCGGCCCAAGATGCCATTTTTTGGTCCATGTTAACCTATAAAAATAACCACAGAAATAGCCATAATCTACTGAATGTGTCAGCCAAAAGAAATCTTTGCAGGGTATCTTTCTTTTTTTTTTTTTTTTCCTTTTTGTCTTTTTTCGTGTCCGGCAAGAGTGTCGCGCCCGCACTGGACCAGGACTGGCAACGGGATCGCAACCCTCGGTGCTGCATCTGCCCCTCGCTCAGCCAGTGAGCGGAACCGGTCTGTATGTGGGATCCGAACCCTCGGTGGGAGCGCCGCCGCACTCTCAAGCAGCGCACTGTAGCAGTGCGCCACCGGGCCGGCCCCTGCAGGGTATCTTTCAAGTATTGTACTCCCTGTACCTTTTCTAAATTTCACTGTTAAGACCAAAGCTTCCCAAGGCTTGACTTCCTACATTATTTTTGGAATGCAAAAAGGCATTTTTTCATATTTTATGAGTGTCCCGAAATGCTCATCCTGTTTCACATTCCTAGCCTGGCTCCCTGCCCTATTACAGGGGCTCTCCTGGCTTCCAGTCCAACAGCATCGCTGCCTTAAAGAATGGCTTTAAAAAGTGACCCAAAAAGGCTGGCTCCACTAATGGGTGGATGAAGGAAAGGCTGTAGTTGGGAGTGAATCAGATTGCCTTAAAAAGAGCATCAGACTTAATTTTTAATTTTGCCTTTTCTTTTTAATCACTATTTCATTTATTTACTTAGTTTTCACATATCCATTGCAGAAAAAGTAAAAAAACAGCAAGAATAATAAATTACAGCGTCCAGAGGTACGCACTGTTACATTTTTTTTTTATTTTAGTGAAATATATGTAACATGAAATTTACTTTTTGTCTTTTTTTTTTTTTTTTTTAAAGATGACCGGTAAGGGCCGGCCCGGTGGCGCACTGCTACAGTGCGCCGCTTGGGAGCGCGGCGGCGCGCCCGCTGAGGGTGCGGGAACCA